GTGCTGTGGGATCTGTTGGATGCTATGAGGGGCAGTGGGTGCTGTGGCTCCAGCAGCTGGAGGTCACTTTGGTTGGGTCTTGCTGTGGTGTTCCAGTGAAGGCTGTAGGAGCGAACTGCCAGACTTCTTTTTTCAAAGAAAACGTACGCAGCACACTGCAGTCTGGTACTGAAGAGAGGACAGACATAATGATACCAGCTGTAGGATGCTCATTAGTTCATTTCAGAATACCTGCCTTGATAATTAGTGTCATCATCAGCCAGAGATACGGGGGCAGCACTGAGGATGCTCTGGGGGGGCAGTGGGCCCCACTCTGTGCTTGGTTGCTCTGTGCTGTGCAGGGACATGGAGCATGGCCCAGTGCTGGGCACAGTGGTGGTTGTTTTCCTCATTTTTAACCTATTTACATTTTAATCGCTTTCAGCTGAAGCAAAATGGATTGTTTGACCTTTCTGAGTACGGCCATATCTGAAATAGGTTAAACTCAATCTGCTGGCAATGTACACTCAGCGCGTGTGAGCTTCCCCTCCTGGAGAGCTGGTCTCACATGTCAAGCAGCAGATGAGGGTAGAGAACATTTTACTAAATCTTTTCCTTCTGCTGCAGGTGTGCATTGTGCAGAAGAGAGACACTGAGAAGATGTATGCCATGAAGTACATGAACAAGCAGCAGTGCATCGAGAGGGACGAGGTCCGCAATGTGTTCCGGGAGCTGGAGATCCTGCAGGAGATTGAGCACGTGTTCCTGGTGAACCTCTGGTGAGTGGCTTCTGCCCTTCCCCTGCCCCTCCCCATGCTGCAGGGCTGCGTTCTGCCCCAGGCGCTCTGCACACAGCCCCGTGGGGAGTGGGGAGGTACTGCGGAGCTGGTGCAGCAGAATGGAGCGCTTTCAGGGAGCACACACACAGAAGACATCCAAGTGTTACATCACAAGCATTTTCCAGCAGTCGGTCTTGTTTCATTGAGCCCATTGTGTTGGTTCCCCTTTCTGAGCCTCCTCGCACACGCTGCTGCAGACCGAGGCGCTAGCAGTTGAGCTGCAGTGCCGGTGTGCCACGTGTGCTGTGTGACCATTGCAGGTGAACGCGTGTTGTTGGCTTCCAGCCTGATGTGAGGGGAGCTGTTCTTTTTAATGAGGCCCTGAATTAGTACTGAGCGCTTTGGAATGCAGCTGTTTTCAGTGATCTGTTTCTGAGAAGAAGTGCTGTGATCTCTGCAGATTGCCACATGAGTGGCCTTTGGCTGGAGAGCAGCTGATGGCAAAACAGAACTCTGCAGCAGTTTGCTGCTGAATGCATCGTTCCCTTTAGAGCTCAGCTATCTCACTGAATCTTGCACAGCATAAATTCATTTCGAAATCTAAAAAGTGGTCCATTATATCTGAAGGTTGCTGCTTGGCTTTGAGTGAGGATTTAGCAGCCAAGAAGAGTGGCATTTATACAAGGTGAGGGAACCACTTGTGGTCCCACAGAGCAGAGGTGACAGGCTGAGGAGGAAGGAGGCTGGTCTCTTGCTGCTGACATGTAGGTGGCTGTGGTTACTGGTGCTGTGCCTGGGGCTGCTCGGTGCTGTGCATGCTCTGTGCCTTCAGAGGACAGCCCTGGTAGAGGCAGCAGTTGCAGTGGGGTCAGGGAGTGTAACCGGGTCCTGGGGGCAGCATTTCCACCCCATTGGCTGTTGGCACTTCAGCAACGGCAGATACATTTTCCAACAGGTAATGAAATCTTTGTGCAGACATGCTGATGCATATTTTCCCAGCTCCTGCATTTGGAATAAGCACACATTCAGGATGAGAAGTGTGTGATTCATGAGCATTATACAACTCCACACACTCTCTCCTTAGAAGCGCTGTGGCCAAATATAACAATGGGACCTTATTTGTAGTGTATCCTTACTGCTGTCACTCTCCTCCGGGATCCTCTGCAAATAGAGAGGCGTTTTACTCTATCGTAAATACAAATCTACTTCTCTGTTTTTATGGTTAAACTAGCACTTGCATTTTCTAATCCATTTTCAGGATATGCAGGGATATTTTAGGTATGGTTGTGTCGTGCTTTTCACAACTGAAAATCCGCAGTGGCTCTGAGACGACTGCGAGCAAAGCCCAGTGGGCTGTGTGCCAGGGAGCCGGCAGTGGGGAGTTTGGTACGGCATGGGTGCTGTGGGACATCAGGCTGGACGGGGCTCTGAGCACCAGAAGGAGCTGTGGGTGTCCCTGCTGAGTGCAGGGGAGTTGGACCAGGTGGCCTTGGAAGGTCCCTTCCAACTCAAACCATTCTGTGGTTCTGTGGTTTGTTATGGGACGTTTGAAGCAGGGAACAGGTAAACTGAGGCAGAATAGCAGGTAGGAATTGAAACACTCCTATTTGCTCTGTGGTTTTCTGGTCTGGAAGGGCAGCCCCAAAGCCCAGCCCCCATACCTGTCTGCAGGGGTTGCTTGCTGAGTGGTTCTATGGCATTCTGTGGGGTTTTGGTGAAGGATGGTGCTCAGAAGGCAGGAGTTAACGGGGGGGCAGCCGCCTCAGCGTGGAAGTGCCGCTTAGGACAGCAAAAGCATCGTGATGGCATCATGAATGGTGCCCACTTAATTAAAGAGAGGCGACACCGAGGCCGCCATATGCTCGTCGTGGGGATGCAGGCAGATTGTCAGCGGTGCTGTGCAGTCACAGGGAGCACTGCTGACGGCCACTCCCCGCAGGTACTCCTTCCAGGATGAGGAGGACATGTTCATGGTGGTGGACCTGCTGCTCGGCGGGGACCTGCGCTACCACCTGCAGCAGAACGTGCAGTTCACGGAGGAGACGGTCAGGCTGTACCTCTGTGAGATGGCCCTGGCGCTGGACTACCTGCGCAGCCAGCACATCATTCACAGGTACCTGTGCTCTGAGGCGCTGGGAGCGAGTGGGAGCTGCGGGGCTGTGGGTCCGGCTGGGCTGCGCGCAGGGGGCTGGCTGTGTGTGGCTCACAAACCTTGCCCACAGAGCTGCAGCCTGTGGACCTTTCTCCTCTCAGGGGCCCGAGTGCGGTGCTTGGGGCCGTGGCTGGGGCTGGGCTGATGGAGGGCTTCCCAGGGTGGGCTGACGCCTGGAGCACTGATTTCACAGACGTGATGCATGAATAAGCCAGATGCTCCCACATTTTTTTTCCCAGGAGAAATATGCTTGTAATGTCTGAAGGGACTTGTTCCATATTAGGGTGTTTTGGGGTTTTATCTTTCTATTTTTAGATAAAAAGGTAGATAAAAGGGTTGCAGTTTTTTTTGTAGCAGTTAATCTGTCATCTGACTGAGATTTCAGTTTGCTGTAATTTTGCTTCTCTTTGCAGAGATGTAAAACCAGACAACATTCTCCTGGATGAGCAAGGTAGGAGCTCTCTGTCTCACTTTGTCCACCCGCTACAGATTTCTTGCAGTCGAGGATTCTGTGTGTCTTGTTATGTGGGAAAGGTGTGAGAAATACACACGCACCAGGCTTTCTGTGAGAAGAGAACCGGGCTGAGCCAGGTGAAGTGAGCCTGGAAACCTTCCTGGGAGCTTCTCTTGGTAGTGTTGTTAACACACCGTTGGTAGGCTATCATGATCTATACAGGACAGCTCATATATGAGATCCCATACATTCAGCTCTCCAGTCATAAGTCTTAGAAAATGAAGATTCACTTTCTCAGGACAGCAGGCTCCAAATACTCCACGTTTTAGGTAAAGGCTTACCAAGACAACGGCTTGCATGGGAGTTTGTTAGAAAAAAACACAGAGTATGAAGGCTAAATGCCAGTGCCTCAGACTGCACGTACTATTGGACATGACCTGTATCTGCATTCATATGGTGAAAATGTTCTGCCCCATCCAAGGCCCCTGGCTTCCCCACACAGCCCTGGTGACAGGCAGTGCAGGAACAGAGAGAATGTTCTTCCGTACTTCCTGAAACATCTCAGTGATTTCTTCATACAGACTTAGGGTTTGCAGAGTGTTAGGATTTCTTTAGATTGACGTGTCTGTATTGGCTGTGCTCTGCAGTGCCAGCTCTGCCTTGGCTCTGGGATGTGGATGTGGTTGTGGTCCAACGCTTTCATCCACAAACTGTTACAGGTTGTTTTCAATCAACACGAACAAGGCAGTGTCTTAACACAGTTTCCCTGTCTTCTTTACTGACTCTAGGTTCTGATATGTCAGTGTGATCAAGTGCTGGAGCTGTGTAAGTTACAGCTCCCAAGGTAGGCTGAGCTAGGAGTGTTTATTGTAAGCTGAAATATTGTGGTATTTTTCACATTACTTTGCACATCCCTCTGTTTTTGTGCTGCACGTTGGCTCAGTACTGCCACATTACATTGTTTGTATTCACTGGTGGAAAACTGAGCCTGAGTTTCCCAAGCAGTAAAGAATTTGGCATTTAAAACTGGACATGTCCCAGGTTTGAAACTCAGAATCCTGTAATGCACTGCAAACAAAGAACAAGAATGGCCAGGTAGGGTGGATTAAGTTGGGTATTTTAAACGGGCTCCATGCAAAATGTGAAGCTTCATATGTGATTCAAGATGCAGAAGCACAGTGAGGTAGCACTTAGCATCAGGCAGGCCCGAGGTCCTCAGAAGGCTGCAGGAGCCCTGGGGCCCAACAGGGGGCTGGGGAGGTCGGGCCTGCCCTGCTCTCTGCCCTTGGGAGCAAAAGCTTAAATACACCTTTATTCTGCACTGTGGGGTTCTGTGCTGCAAGTAATTCCTTCCTAACATCTGTCTTTGTTTAAGGTCACGCACACTTAACAGATTTTAATATTGCAACAATAATTAGGGATGGTGAAAGAGCAACTGCGCTAGCTGGAACAAAGCCATACATGGGTAAGAAGCAGTGGCAGGTTGTTGCTCTGTGCTTTACCTTTAAGGAATGCTCACTGCATGCGGTCTTCTAAATCCTGTCTGTCACAAAAGCACTGAATGGGTTTCGCCCATTAATGCATGCACCGAGTCATTCAGCAGAGCTTAGCTGGCTCAAGAGGGGAGCTCCGCAATGGCTGCATTGCCATCAGAGTGCTGCCTGTCCCTCCAGCGTTCCCAGCGTCCCCTCAGCTCCGTGTCCCCTCGGTTTCCTGTCCCCGTGGCCCAGTGTCCCCATGTCTCACAGTCCCTGCTTGCTGCCCAGCCCCCTGTGAGACCAGCTGTGCTGCAGGCTTGTCCTGGAAGCCCCACTGGTGGCATTAACTGCGCTTATGCTTGGACTTGCACGATGTGGGTGATTTTAGCAGAAACCAACTGACATTGGAGATAACCTGCTGTGGCTCTGCTCTGTCTGTTCAGCTCCGGAGATTTTCCATTCCTTCCTGAGTGGTGGCACGGGTTACTCCTTCGAAGTGGATTGGTGGTCACTGGGAATCATGGCTTACGAGCTCCTCCGTGGCTGGGTAGGCTTCAGAGCCAGAGGCCTAAGAACATGGCTCCTTCATGGGCTGCAGAGAGGAAAGGGAATTCCTTCTCACCCTTGTGTGCTTTCTCCAGAGGCCGTATGACATCCACTCCAGCAACCCGGTGGAGTCCCTGGTGCAGCTGTTCAGCACCGTCAGCGTTCAGTACTCATCCACGTGGTCAAAGGAGATGGTAGCTCTGCTACGAAAGGTGAGGGATCTTAGAGTCGTAGAATCATAGAGTCCTAAGAGTTGGGAGGGACCTCGGAGGGCGGTGTGGTCCAGCTCCCCTGTGATGAACGGGGACAGCACAGCTAGCTCTCCTGCTGTGCGCTAGGCTGGGCAGTAGCTGTGGTGCGTACAGGTGTGCCTGGACATATTTCAGTGTGCTAGTAGTGTGAAACTGAGAGTGGACTTTCACAAAGTCCAGCAAAAAGACATTACTCGGTTTAAGCACAGATTAATCTTTTGTTATGATGTTTTTTTTTTTTTTTTTTTTTTTTTACTTCTGTAAGTGTGGAATCATAATGCCTTAGGTTGTAAGGGACCTTGAAGGTCACTGAGATGTAACTGCCTTCTGCAAACAGGGATAGGATGCATTGTTTGCTAGCCAACGAAAAGGCTGTTTCATGGTGTAATGCTCAGGTTCTTCCCTGGGGAGGCTGGGTTCTTTCAGCACCCAAGGGTAAGGTCCTTGTGCCGTGGCTGGGTCAGCTGGGGAGCAGTGGGCTCAGCGCTGAGGAGTCTGGTTCGGAGGCATTTCCAGTGAGGGATTTCGTATGCGTGCAATGCTTTCGTGTTACTGCTGCACCTGGAGAGCTGTCGGTGCGCTGTGGAGGCTGGTTTTCAGCTGTCGTTTGCTTGAAAACTCTGAAAAGTAACTGATGGGCGCGCTGTGAGGAAGGTACACCCGGTTCCGAGTGGTGCGAGGCTCAATGGCCGCTGGTGTCGATCGGCGGCGCGGCGCTGGGCGGGCTCGCATCGCCCCCTGCTGGCAGCTGCAGGGAGCGCCGGGGCAGCGCGTCGCGCGCCGGGAGGGGCGGACGGGGCTTTGCGCCCTGCAGGAAGGCCGGCACCGCATCTGCTGCTGGATCCGCGCTGCGCTGCGGCGTTCTGCGCCGCTCCCCTGTGCAGAATGGCACGCGTTGCCCCCAGCAGAAGGGGTGCGGCACTTCCGGGTCCCCGGTGCGTTTGCGGGACCGGGGCTCTGGGCTCCATCTCTCCTTGCTCACAGCAGTGCTGTTGTCCCGCAGCTGCTGACGGTGAACCCCGAGCACCGCTTCTCCTGCCTGGCTGACATCCAGACATCAGCATATCTCTCTGCCGTGCCCTGGGGCGATGTCTGCCAGAAGCGCCTGGAGCCGGGCTTTGTCCCCAACGTGAGTACCACAGTACCACGGCCTGTCCGCTCACTGCCCCTGCTGCGGACTCGGGGAATTCGCTGGGGAGGGATGACCCCGTGTGTCCGTGTGTCTGCAGAAGGGCCGCCTGCACTGCGACCCCACCTTCGAGCTGGAGGAGATGATCCTGGAGTCCAGGCCCCTGCACAAGAAGAAGAAGAGGCTGGCGAAGAACAAATCACGGGACAACAGCAAGGACAGCTCGCAGTCTGTGAGTGCTGCTGGGATGCTGCTGGGGTGCTGCTTCCCATGCAGATATATTGGGGTGGAAGCGTTTGCCAAATGGAGTCTTCCTGACAGCCAAGTGTTCCTCTTCATAAGTGCAATAAAACCCTTTCACAATAATCTGTGCTCAGGGAAGTGAATTTGACAGATAGAGGTGTGGGCACAGTGATCAAGGGTAAAGCTAGCAAACCATCCAACTGGTTGTGGCCTTTCTGAGAAGCACTGTCTTATTGCCCGGCAGCTCAGGGTGAGGCTTGTGCTTCATGGTTTGTCTGAGGGCTGGATGATGGCCGCACAGAAGCACCCACTGTGCCCGTTCCATGTTTGGGTGCATGGCCTGGTGCCACTGCGGCCTCACAGCTCTGCCAGGCGCTGGGAGGGAGAAAACAGAATGAACAGGCTTGGAAGTGCCTTTGGGAGAGGGTTTGTGACCAGGAGAGCTCAGTGCTTCTGTTGTGTCTGCCACAATCCTCAGCTGGCATGCTCACTGCACAAGGTGGCATGGGGTAGGAGCCCAGCCCTGGCTGCAGGGTCTCTGCACACCACAGGTGAAACATGCCACAGTAAAAGCTGCAAGGCAATCAGTTGTGCTGTTCCCTTCAGCTGGTGGCTGCTGTGTGCTGTGCATTGGTTGGGGCAGTGCAGTGCTGTAGGAAGCAGATGTGCAAACGTGACTCTTCACGCACGTGTGGTTCTTTTCTGTTCTTCAACAGGAAAATGACTATCTCCAGGAATGCCTTGAAGCTATCCAGCAAGACTTTGTCATCTTTAACAGAGAGAAGTAAGTGGGGGCTGTTTTGGGGAAATAAAAGATGTTCTTTTCCTGGCTTTTCCGCAATATCAGAAGCTTGAGGACCTGGAGCACCTTGCAGGGGGCTTGCTGCAGAGAGGCTGCTGGAGTCTGACCTGCACATGCCGCACCTCCTCGGCTCCCTTATGCCCCTCTGCTCCCACTTGGCACCACCTCAGCTCCCCCTTGTGGAGAATGTTGCTTTGGGAGATGTCACAAGCATGCAGGAGGATTGCTGCAGTTCAGCCTGCAGTTCAGTGCTGCTTCACCATCTCCAAGCACACAAAGGGGCCCTGCTGTGTTCGGAAGCAGACCAGCAGTCAGCCCCATGCTGGGGGCTGTGTGTGGGGTGGGTGTGTGCATTGCTGTGCCCACAGGCAGTGGAGCACTGAAGCCCACACGCTGTGGTTGGGCATCTGGGAATGTGGTGGTATGTTCTGCCGGTGCTTCCACCCATGTAAGGACGTCACCATGCGCTGGAGGTGCCACCAGTGTGAAGCCCCCCTGCTTTGCCTTACCCGGGCCTGCCGTGGGATGCTGTGGGGGTGCTGGGGCAGCTAGGGGCTCACGCTGATCCAGGTGGCTGTGTGATGTGCTCCTCTGCCCCACGCAGGCTGAAGAAGAGCCAGGAGCAGACCGGCGAGTCCACGTCTGCCCCCGAGAGCACCGCTGAGGCTGAGACAGAGGCTGAGGCTGAGGCTGAGCCCTCCAACCTGAGCATGTGCAGCTCCGTGTGCTCCTCGGCGGGCAGCAGCTAAGCTGAGGCCGCCCTGCTGCCGCCCACTGCCGCCTGCCCTGGGTTGCACTGAGTGCCTCTGGCAGTGCCCTGCAGCACCTGGCACAGCAGCTCATCCCGCAGCGTTGTAGCAAAACAGTTCTCACAGAGCTGAGCTCTGCATTTACACAGGCACCAGTTCCACTCACTGAGGTGCTGCCGTGGGTAAGGATACTCACTATGCAACTTGTCGGAGGAAGGAGACTTATTTCATTACTTGTTCTTTTATAATGTCAGATTGCTGTTTTAATGCAGTGCGATGGCAACGTGAGAAGTTACATCTCCAAGATGGGAAGCCAGCAGGAGGAAAGCTGGATGGGTGGCTCACGCTGTATGAGGCACCGCTGCTAGCGAGGGCTGCGTGGGGCCGAGTGCTCCCACTGTGAGCTGGGGCTGCCCCTGCTGCAGCCACATCTGGAGCAGGATGGCCCTGCAGCTCAGGGATGGCGTAGGCAAACTGTTGTCCCCTCACCACTGCCAGAGTGTCGTTCCCGACTTGGGGTAAATAAATGTTCTTTGTGCACTTCTGGGGCTGGGTAATGATTAAATACGTGATCAATATGTAAAGTGTACTTAAGATACTTGCTTCCTTCATGCAGCCGCTGTGAGTGGCAGGAGCCGTGTGGCAGATGGGGCCATTTGGGCTCTGTGTGCCCAGGTTTGGGGGATGCATTTTGTTACAGGTTCAGGTTTTTTCGGAAGCAGTTTGTGACCTTCTAGTTCTGCTTGGCCATGAAAAGAGGGCAGTGTCTTAATTTACTCTTCAGTTTTCTCTAATTTCAGCGTAAAGTAGGAGTGCTGTACATAACTTACCAAAACCTGTTTTTATCTTCTCAGTAAGACAGGAGCTCTCTGATGGCTCCGCTCTGGGGGTTGCCTTTCTCTGCTTTCAGAGGCCTTCACTCCGTTGGCTGCTCAATCTGCTGCGTTGTGGCTTTTGGTTGCTGTTGTCAAACATGAGCCGTGGGTTCTGCTGCAACAAAGCCGTTGTGCTGCACAGATTGTAGCAGCGGCGTTCACCTTAAAGCTAGCGAGATGTGTTTGCTGGCAGATGCCAAGGAGGTGGCTGGGTTTGCATCCCTGTTCTATATTTGTAACGCAGAAATGCATAGAAAAGGTTTTTAACAGATGCAGACTTTTAGGACAAACACTGCTGCGTTTTAGTTTCTGTGGATGGAATAGATCAGCTTAACCGTGCACAATTATTTTATATGAAAGATGACACTAAACATTAATTTTCCACAGTTTTATGTGGAGATCAGTGACTGTGCAGAACCACACGTTCATGAAGGGGCAGCAGAGGCTCGAGGTGCAGACCCCAGCACCGGGTGTGCAGCGATGGCTGGGTAGCCCTGCGCCCAGCCCCGTGGGACGGCCCATCTGAGCGCTGCTCCCTGGGCTGAGCTGCCTGCAGCCCTGCTCCCCCCGCTGTGCCCACACGCTGCCTCTTTCCCCGGCGCTCCCCAGCCCTGTCCCTTTTCCCCCTGCACGTCGTGCAGTGCCCAGCAGTGCTGGGGGCACCGCGTGGCTGCCGCCCCAGGGTGAGATGGGGGCTCAGAGGCGGGGAGGACAGACTGCAGAGTGTGTGCGTCTGCCCCGGCACCAGGACAGGGGACACGGCCAGCTTTGGGAGCACGGTGCAGTCAGGGCGCTGTGAGTCCAGCACCACTTGGGTCTGGTTTCCAGCCGTGCGTGGATGTGTGTTTTGCTACTGCCTGCCACAGAGCAGGTTCCGTTGCTGCCCATTTACTTATGCATAGAAGCCGGAGATGAAACTGAAAGCGAAGAGTGATGGTGAGGAGGAGGCACAGCGATGGTGCATCAGGCTGTGCTGGGCTGCGGGCTGCGCTCTGCACGGGGCTGTGATGGCTGCACTGCCAAAGCCCCGAGCCCTCCTGTCCGTCCTGGGTCAGTGCTGCTGTGAGCAGAGCTCACGGCCCTGTGTGAGGCGCTGCCATTCCTGACCCCACTGCAGAGCCTGCGGGAGCCAGTCCAGCACCGCTGTGCATCTCCACAACAGCGTTCTGTACATAACTGTTCAAACACGTGCATCTTTTGTATGACAGATTTATACAGGGAGTGCCGTTACCCGCTGTGAGACGTCTACATCGCCTAGGAATTATTCTCCTTGAATTCTTGCCATGAGGTTTTTTTCTTATCGCCGTTGTATTTGGGAGTTTTGCAGAACTGCATATTTTCAAGTGTTTCCATTGAATTCCACAGACTTTGCTGGGAATTTTTGTAGAAACCAATGCCAGGTCAGGTCCGGATGGGTCTTTTGTTGCCAATTCATCACTCTGCACCTTGGTGAGAAGAGAATAAGAGTAATATGAATGAGGCAATGTGAACTTGAGGTTGGACAGTGCCGAAACCCTGATGCCTTGGTAGGGAATATTTTTAAATCATCTCAGTGTAAATTGAATAGGTAAAGTATACCTTTGTATTTTATGTTAATACATTTCTGTAATTTATTGCATAGCAATACTGCCATGTCACGGAGCATTTCAATTAGGACAACAAATTTGTGTTTTTACAGACACTGCAAGAAGACATTGCCTATGTGGAGTAATAAATGTGTATTTTTAACATTGCCAAGTCTTGGCAGTCATTTCTGGGTTATTGCTCTGCAGGACAATGAGTCCAGGAAAGAGTGTTGAGATACAGTTGGTGCTTCCACATTGCAGACCTCCACTGTTCAGCATCCAGACCACAGCACTGACATCACAGCCAAAATGCACCATCAGTCAGCTGTGCATTCGCTGCTCCTACGGGCAGCACTGTGGTACAGCTGTGTAACGAGCAGCTCCGTGTGCCAGGAATTTCCCCACAGGGGTCCCTGCCCCATGGGGCCCGAGGGCTTCGCACCTGGGTCTTGTGCAGCCACTGCCGTCCCTGCGGTGCATTGCAGAATGCTGCACTGCTGCACCGTGCTGCGCTGTGAAGGCTGCCCCCAAGATGCATCAAGATGCTGAAAGCTCCGTGCAAATACAGCCTGACACCTTGGGACTGCAGGATGCTCCGTCCATCCCACAGCAAGGAAATGAGATGAGCTGCAGGAATGCTGTTGGGGTGCTTAATGCAGAGGTTTAGGGGCCAGCATTGCTGCTCCTCAGCAGCTGCAAACCACACCTGTGGGCCTTTCCCAGGGTCAGACAGGCGTCCCTGTGCCTCATGCCCTGCAGTGCCAGGCACAGCAGTGGCACTCAGCTGCTCCCCTCCGTCTGGCTGAGCCAGCGCCTGACCCAGAGCCTGCGGTGCTGTCAGAGGGAATTAGGGCTGTGCAGCTGAGTGCTGCGGGTGGGGCTGCTCCCTGCAGGCACCAGACATGCTGGCAGAGGGATGGATCTTCAGGAAGGGCTGAGACATCTTGTTGAGACAAGCACTGGGTTCTAACCTTGCTGCCCTGTGCCAAGGCCAGGTAACTCCATGCCAGTGCTGCTTCAGCTCCCCCAGGCTCCTCCTGCAGAGGGGCTGCCCACAGCTGTGCCACAGAGAGCAGAGGGGAGGGGTGGGCCCATGCCCAGGTACCCTAAAATAAATGAGCCCAGCTGCTGGGGATTGCAGCATTTCTCTTGTTAAGAACAGCTGTGTTGGAGCTTGTGCAAGGCTGGGGCAACCTGTGCTGGGGTTACTGCTGCCTTTGTCCTTGCTGGCTCTGGTTTCAGCATTGTGCAGGTGGGGGACACGAGTTCAAGTGAGTGTTTTCACTTGAAAAAACACTCAGTTTTCAAAGATGCTTTTATTTAGATGTAAGCAAAACGCTGCTTGCAAAGAAACTAGATGGATGTTCAATAGCCTTTGCAAAAAAAAAAAAAAAAAAAAAAGGCATTAAACAAAATTCAGTCATTTGTTTAAATCTATCTGAGCATATATGCTTGATCCAGCCACCCCATCTGCATTCTGGTCCACATGCTTGGGCTCAGGCCCACAGCTGCAGCCCAGCCCCACACACAGCAGCTGCACAGCCACAGGACAGAGCACAGACCTGCACAGCACGAGCTGTTCCACAAACCAGTGCACATGGCAAGATGAGGTACGAGCACACAAAGTGAGGCAGGGCAGCTGCTTCCATCACCTCAGGATTTCAAACAAAGTTTATTCAACGCAAGGAACAGAAAACCAACTGCGAGGCATGGGGCAGAGGGACATGCATAGATTCGTGGCATAGAGGTTCACCTGTTCTGTACATACCTTTAATGTAACAAACTGCCTCGCAGAGATTTTATAAAAGAGTCTGCCCTGTGCAAGCAGCCTTCAGCTGGGCCTTTTATTGGCTGTAAGACTTCACTTACACTTGGTACTTGAAAAGCTGTATAAATAACCCTTTTTTTAAAAAAAGTCTGCCTACAGCAGCCCAGCCTGCAGCCCCTGTGCACAGCCCCAGCACAGGGACAGCCCCTGGGGGCAGCTGCCAGCACACAGCGCCTGGCAGGGCTCCTCGGTTAACAGTCCTTAGAGAAGAGCAGTCACTGGGATAGAAAGGAACGAACACCAGACAACCTGTCATGGCCCTCCTGTGCAGAGCAGCGAGCAGCACTGCTGAACACACATTAAATGTACCTCTAGGTGTGGGCATGCATACGCTAAGGGCTCTGAGGATCCAGGTAAGAGACACGGAGCGGGAGCTCTAGGGACTGGGGGACATACAGGTGGGTGAGCTACCTCGGGGTGGGCTTCATCTACTTTCTACCTAAGAGAAGAAGGTTCATCAGGTGCCCAGGGCCCACCTCGCTTCCACCCTGAGCTGAGGGAACCAGCCGTGCCCTCCACACCAGCACCATGGGAGCAGCATCAGGACAGGGAGGTGATGTTGGAGCGCCCGCCTGGTGGGGCCATGATCTTCTGGGCTGTGCGACGGGCAACGTGGTCATCAGCCTGAGAGCCTGGGGAGAGCAGAGCAGGACATCAGTGTGCAGCCATAAGGCCTTTGGGGAACAGCCCGCGTCTCCCTCTAACTCCACTTGGATGCTGCGTTAGCACAGTACAGTATAAATGGCCGTGTGGCCTTCTGGCATTTTAAGGGGCTTCTAAAAGAGGCATGGTCTGACAGCCAGAGAAGGGGGAATGGCTTTGTGCGAAAAGAGGGAAGATGGGGTGGAGGTGAGGAGGCTGCACAGGATGGCAGCATTAGTGCTCCTTCCTGGGAACAGAGCTGCGTGACCCAGCCCTGGAGCAGCACAAACGAACACATCCGCATTGAGCCCTGCCCCACTGACAGCCCTGCCCCCACCTACCCGACAGGCTGAACCCCGACTGGTGCAGGTTGCGCACGGGCACGGCGGGCACTTTGCTGGCACAGCCTGCGATCCTGGAGGCTGCGATGGTGGGCACAGCTTTGGTGCTGAGGACGACATCGTGGACCGGGCCGTCATACAGCCCCCGCGGGACACCATGCACCTCTGCCAGCTGCGGGAGGGAGGTGAGGTGTGAGCCTGGCGCTGCGGTCCACCCCCTCCCTCCCCCCCAAGGCCCCTCTCCCTTCACATGCAGCAGAGGCAGCCCACAGCCCAGGGCTCCAGGTGCTGGTAGGTAGTGGGCAGCAGAGGGGGCGCATCCCGCAGGCACACACCTCAACCAGAGCAGCACAGTGCTTCATTCTATCAACCTCTGTATTCTTAGGCATATGGCCAAAACCAGAGTGGAGCAATAGCCCCTGTACCAGTATGCATCACAGCTCTGCTTCAGGCTGTGTTGTCTCTGCAGCGAAGCAGACTAATGACTGAGAGGCATTTGAGAACCAAAGGGTCAGCACACACGTGGTTTGCAGATGAGAAGAGCAGGGTTTCAAATTAAAAGCACAGGGCCTGATGGGTTCTCCACAAGCATACAGTATTTTCCACAGCAAGGTTTCTGGTACATCACCTTCATCCTGGCCCCTATCTCACACAGACAGTGCTCTGATCAGCATCTTGCTGTGCTCCTTTTGACCCTGGCTTTTCCTGAAGCTCTGCTTGAACCACAGACCAGGAGGCAGGGGCCGGCTGTCTGGTTGTTTGCAACGTGCCCAATGAGGCTGCCCAAGTGAATTAGCTTAACAAACGAATCACCAACAGCCGGGTCTGACACTCAATTATCATCTACTGGGAGACCGGGGACCTTCAGGACGTGAGCGTTTATATTTAGCAAGCTCTGTCTGTCCTCTGTGACAAAGCAGTGGCACCGGGCGTCTCCTTTCAGCACTGACACAAACACAGGCTGACTGCCAGCCCCGCACAGCTCCCTGCACACACAGCACCGAGGTGCTGGGGGCTGCGCCACCACCGCACTGCAGCATGGACACAGAGGTGCACACTGCGAGCACTGCTGCAGCAGCCAGCGCTGTTGGTGTGCCTGAGGTTTGAGATTTTTGCTCTTCAGTGCATAATGAAAGGGTCTGAAATAACACAAGGAGGAAGGTGCGGTCCTTATGGGGCATTCTACGCCTTTGCACGTCTTTGTGTCTCCCAGGAGAGCTGTGCTGGCACACTGGGAAGGGCTGCTGTTGCTTCCAGTAACTACGACCACTCCACTAGTCGTGGGCAGCAGCCAACTTGCAGAGTGGTAATACAGCAACACCATAATTCCCAACAAAAGCAGAATCAAATTCTTCCTCCCTACCTATAGAACAAACAGGTAGAGGTTGCATTTTTGCTCTGTAACTTTGTAATAATTGAGTAATACTAACACCTGCATAATCAGCTGCAATCCTGCAGCAGGCACTGCAAGCAGTACGTGCCACGACACTGACCAGGGCATCACAGCAACATTCCACCAGCACAGCTCTGCTGCCTGCTGCACCCCAGTGCTTGGAGCAGAACAGGGACCACAGTGCAATAATGCAGAGGTTGTGATTATGGCAAATGAAGTTCTCCTTACCCTGTTCCTCGCCTTTATTCTCTTATAAACAAAATCAGGGAACGTCTTTCTGGGAATGAAGCGACCCGAGCCCTCGGTGACAAACAGGTTCCCATCCTCAAGAACGACTTTCCCCTGACTGATGACCACAGCAGGAGCCCCATGACACTCCGTGCCTTCAAATATGTTGTACTCCACGTTCTGGAAGAAACAAACCAGGATGTTTAATACTCAGAATGAGATCAGCACTTAATTGCTCTGCTCTGCAATGAGCACAATCTGTGTGAGCTCTGTGTTCTGGCAGCAAAGCATCATGGCTCAGTCACTGCTGCTCAGCCCAGTCCCAGCCCTCCCGACTGTCCAGCAGTGCACCAAACAGCACGCTTTGCATTTCACAAAGGAAACGCAAGGTTTTCCACCTGCTCCTCCATTCACATGGCAAACGCCCTCATCTTTCTGAACTGAAGAAATACACTGCTTTGCTGCTCCCAGCCAACTGTAAAACCAGCTCAGGAAAATAATCAAGATATCTTACCAAATTGTGGGTTTTTGCTGAGATGATTTTTGTAGCCTTGGGGTTCCACAAGACCAAGTCTGCATCAGAGCCCACCGCAATTCGCCCCTTCCTGGGGTAGCAGTTAAAGATTTTGGCAGCATTTGTGCTGGTCACTGCCACGAAATCGTTCTCATCCATCTTCCCTGAGACCTGAGCAGCAGGAGGAGGGAAGGGCTGTTCA